AGTGCAACGATTTGCTAGGCTTAAAGGTTTCACTGCAGTCAGCGGACTGCTTGATTTATCGAAATATTATGAGCACATTTCGCATGCAGATCTTTTCCAGGAGGCCCTGCTCACGGGGTTCCCCATTCGTTTGCTGGAGTGTCTGTGCGCTGGGTATCGCCTCCCACGTAGAGCCGTATGGGGGGCGATTATCTCAGAGCCTTTAGTTGCCAACGGTGCGGTAGCAGCAGGCTGTAGCAACGCGCTCGCATTGGCGAAGCTGCTTGTGCACACACTGATCAAAAAGCTCCAGCGGAAGTACCCGCAGGTCAGGTTCCAGAACCTTGTTGATGATTTTCTTCCTCAGGCGATCGGTGGTCGAGCGCAGATTGTGGGGCAGTTTCCATCGGCCATGATGGATTTAGTGGCCGGCCTCGAACACAAGAAACTCAAAGTCAATTGGGATAAGACTGGATATATGACCAGCGCTCCCGATGTTGATCCAGACCTGGCGAAACGCTGGGATCTAGATGCTGCTCAGAAATTGCATGCCGGTCGCTGTCTTGGGACAGACGCCAGCAGCGGTGCCAGCCGCAGCGTGCAGGAGCAAGATAAAAGGCTTGCTAAGGCCAAGTCTGTCTCCGCCCGTGTAGTCCATCTCAGACAAGCCGGGGCCAGTGTCAGCACGATAATGCGGGGTTCTCCTACGGCGACGGCGGTTTGGGGATCTGCTGTCACTGGCCTAGGCGATCACAAATTGCATTCTCTACGAGTCGCGGCCCTTCGTGCGGAGGGCCGCGTGCCTCCTGGGACGTCGGTGGCCCTTCGGCTGCGAGCGACGCCTGGAGGTGCATCTAGGGACCCATGGGTGGTCCACGCCGTAGAGGTTAGAAAGCGTTGGACCCTGTCGGTCGTTTCCCTTCTCCCTGGGCGCGGGCCCTTGGAAGCTTGTTTGGAGGCCGGTCAGGCTATCCTTGGTCGGGCCCGGCCTTGGTCCCAGGTGGTGGATCCCGCCCAGGCTGCATTGCTTTCCTTGGCCAGGGTCGGCGCGACACTGCCTGCGGCCACAGTTTATAGGGGCCCATTTTGGGGAGATTTTGATATCCCGCAGTATTCACTTGGATTCTTCATGAATTTGGTCCGCGACGCTGCCATGGCGGCGTCCGATGTTGCAGCGCTCGGGCGCCTGGAAGGTGCCTGGGTTTCGCCTCTTCACTGGGCGCCCGTGTCCGCCGTGTTGAACAGATCCTATTCGGCGGGATGGACAGCCCACATGTGTTCTGCCATTCGATCGCTGGTGGGAGGCAGCCATTGGCCCCAAGCCAGGCTGCATGACCACGGGAAGGCGCTCCACGACCGATGCGCCCATTGTGGAGCACGGGGCACGTTGCACCATCGATTTTATGATTGTCCAAGGCTTTGCGCCGTCCGGCGCGAAGATTGCCCTGAACACGTCAAGCAAGCTGCCAGCTATGTCCAGGATCTGAGTGAATTCTTTGGTGAATTGTTTTGTCGCTGCCTGTGGCCATCGCCCAGGTATTGTTTTCCCCGCGACGAAGCTCCCAAGGACAACTTGTTGCGCTTTGTCGGGGTTTTCCCTGGGTGGAAATTTTCGAGGAAGGTCTTCGTCGATGGAAGCGCTTTTAACACCGCTCACGCCGGCCTGAGTAGGGCTGGATGGGCGGTCGTTGCGGTAGACCCGGCAGGGCAGCTCATAGGAGCCATGTATGGGGTGGTACCCCTAGCTAGCGCCCCGCACCAAGTAGCTAGAGATGGCGAGGACTACGCGTTTCTCATGCACAGTCGTTTTTCGGAGTGGGACCCCGAGAATCCCCTAGAGGTTTTCCGCGATTGCCTCGGGACCGTCGGGTGTGCCACCGACGCCGGTGAAGCTTTGAGCCATGACAACCCCAGGCAACACCTCTGGAGGGAATGGTGGTCCGGCATTGACCGTCAGGCCCAAGTTCATAAAGTGAGAGCCCACACATCAGAGTCGGCCGCTTTAACCGATCATGACGTGTGGATTGTTCGTGGAAACAGGATGGCCGACAAATGTGCTAAGAAAGGGGCCTTGCTGTGGGGAATCCCAGAGCAGTGGCCTTTGTTCGTTTCAGGTTGCAAGCGGATTGTGAGAGACTGTGTTATGTGGCATGGCCGAGCACATGCTGCTTTCGGTGCTTTGGAGCAGCCCGATTCGGAGGGCATCGCCGGCACTGCGGACATCCAATTCGACGATGAATATTCCGAGGCCCTTTTAGAGGCATGCGAGCTAGCAGGAGTGCAGCGTTCGAACGGCGCCCCGGCACCGCGGGAGCTTCGGGGTCCTCCCCCGCTCCGCCTCCGCCTCCTCCGCATCGTCCTGCACCCAGGGACTTCCTCCATGTATCTGGGGTTCCCTGGGTGCTTAGAAACCACTCCATCGTCCAGGCCACGGTCCAGGCTGAAGATGGGGAAGCTCTCGACGTTTCATTTTTTTGTAAGTGCGGTGGGGTCTCGGCGCATCAGAGTGCGCGGGGAGGCCTTCAAGCAAACTGCAAGGGATCAGGCCATACGGGGTATGAGACCCAGAGGTCGCGTTTAAAGCGTGGTTTGTTCCCAGGTCACAACCTGGGGAAGGCCACTATGGGCACTCCGTTCGGGCCGACAGATGATATGAAGGCTGTTTGGGGTCCTTTGCTTGGCTTTGAGCCCGGTGGGGGTGGTGCTGGTGGGGACGTGGGTCTAAACAGTGATGCTGTAGAGGCGCCGGTTGCGGCCACGGAGGTGCCGCTCCCGACTTCAGCGATCGCTGAGCTTCCAACCTTGTCACCCCAACAGATTGCTAGATTGCACGGTTTCGCTACTCCAGAGGCGCTTGTTGCTTGGGAGAGTGACCAGCGCCGTCGGGAAGTCGATCCGGCTGATTGGGATGAGGAGGATAGCATAGGCTAGCCTCCTGTTTTTGGCCTGCGTGCCAGGGGGTGTAGACCCACCCCGCGTCATCAGTACCCTCAGTACCCTCCTCCTCCTCCGCCTCCTCATCCTCCTCCTCCTCCTCCTCCTCATCCTCCTCCTTCCTCCTCCTCCTCCTCCTCCTCCTCCTCCTCCTCCTCCTCCTCCTCCTCTCTTCCTCCTCTCTTCCTCCTCCCCCTCCTCCTCCTCCTCCTCCTCCTCCTCCTCCATTTCCTCCATTTCCTCCTCCTCCTCCTCCTCCTCCCCGCCACCCGCGGTGGCGAAGCTCGGCCGGGCCCAGCAGGCTGGCCTCGCCAGCCTCGGCGTGGGCCGGTCGGCGCGGCAGCGCGGGCGTGGGCACGCTGCGCCGGCGGCGGGCCTCGGTGCCTCTCGTGGCCGCGTTGGCGGCCGTCCTGGTGGTCGTCCCTCGCGCCAGCCGTGGCCGTCTGAGCCCGGGTGCCATGTCGTAGACTTGGCATCGCTCGGACGTGTGCATTTTTTCCTTCGGTGAGGACCATCGAGGAGCATCCTTGATCATTTGGCGAAGAAACCACGCACGAAACCGAAAAAAACACAGGAAATGGGCGTCCGAGCGATGGCCAGTAGATGGTGGTTCGGGGGCGGCAGAGATCACCGAGCGCGTTCCAGTACTCGCAAAGTGCCCACTTGCAACCGTCTGAAACACACGTGTCTGTTTTGATGCAATGTATCGTAGATCCCCCGCGGGGGATCCAGGCCATTTGCGAGTAGTTACTTTGCGAGTAGTGGAACGCGCTTGTCTAAAAGAAGGGGGGGAATGACTGGCAGAGAGGGGGGTGATGACTAGGGTTGTGGAGGACGATCAGTGGAGAGGAAGCATGTTGCCAAATGTTTTCCAAATGTCTGACGCATGTGTTAAACATGTGTTGAGCATGTCAAACAAACATGTTAAACACATGCTTCGAGCATTTTCCGACATTTTAAGTTCAAGGACAGGACTGCTAGAGTGTCCAGTGCCGTGGCATCTACGAGACTAGGGGGAGGTGGGCCATAGTCTTTCCCCAGATTTCATGGCGCCTCTCCTTATCTCGTTACGTCCCTGGCCCCCCCTTGGGCTGCGCACGTGCCGCCGGCCATGATTTGCACCCCCCCCTCTTGGACGCCCCCCTCCTGGCCGCCCCCGAGTGGTGGTGCTGCTGCTGGCTGGTGTCGCTGGAGGCTCGTCGGGTCCGCGCTCGCCGTCGTAGCGCCCAGTGGTGAGGTCGACGTCACAGGCCGTGCAACGTTCGTCGTGAGGTGGCTTTCTTCCTCCTCCTCCTCGCACTCCTCTCTGCTGCGCCCCCTCCCTCTTCACGGCTCCCCGTCCCTCTCGTCTTCCTCCCTTCCTCCCTCCTCCGTCCTTTTCCTCTGCCCCACTGCTCCTGTTTTCCTCCTCGCTCCCCTCTTCTACACGCCCAGTGTGAGCCCTTCTCCCCTCGCTCCACAGGTAATGTCTTTATTTGCCGCCGCCTATCGGGTATATAATCGCATATAGCTTTGCACACGCGCGTACACACGATTGCCCAAATGTGATGTGCGACTTGTGTTTTCCCCGCTGGAACTATTTCGGCTCCTCAAAAGTAGTGCTATGGCTACAGCTTCCGTCAACGCTCATCTTACCTCCGCCCCTCCGCCTTCTTCATCTGCCTCCCACTTCTCATCGGACTCCCTCATGACTGCTCTCCCGTCTCGTGTTGCTGATTCGGGATCCGTGTCTTCTTCGACATACGAACATGCAAAATTAGGGGCTCCACTTCACGGTAATGGATGTGAGGGAGAGGTATCATTTCATTTGTGGCGCGAGTGCACCACGAATATTGTCCTCTCTCTCTCTCTCTCCTCGTCTTTCCCCCCTCCTCCATTTGCCCCTCCTCCTCCTCTTCCTCCTCAGGAAGCGACCCAAGCAATGGGTGTCCCCCATTGGCCGTTCCGCGGCTTAGGCATGATTCACCCCCGAGGAACTGCTCAACGGCGGTCCGCTCGCAAACCTGGCAGTTTGGTCAGTGACCCTCCTCCTCCTCCTCCTCCTCTTCCCCCTCCTTCTCACAGCTTTTCTTTCGCCTCCTCGTGAGGACCAGCTGGACCTGGTCAGCTCCGCTGGCGTCTCCTTCGCTCAGGATCTCGTCCTCGGCCCGGCGCTGTGGTCCCTGGCGGCGGTGGGCGCGGCGCTGTGCCTGTGAGAAGCTGCCTTCTCCTCCTCCTGATCCTCCGCTTCCTCCTTTTCCACTCGCCTCTCCCGTTCTTCGGCAGACCATGTTCCGCCGCAAAAATATATACGCTGGCACTCTCCAACGGACTGCTCCTAGGCCTCACGGGGATGGTGGCCCTATGTAATTCACCATTATGCACCCACGATGTTGTACACCGCCGCCCTCCCTTGAAGGCACAAGGAACACTCGTCGGCGAGTGGTTGTGAATATACTTTCGTGTCGTACATGAGGGCACGCCGTCCTACTCCTGCTCCTCGGGCCAACTGTTTCGAGGAAGTCGCACGGACTTTTTTGTTGTTGCCCCAGGTCCTATTCCCCTATTAGCTCCCGTGCTCGCGCACGCCTGTCACCCATCGTTGGATCGCCCTCTGCGGCGCTGACAGCTCGCTCCTTCGTTCCGCCAGCTAGTCCATCCGCAGATGGCACCCGCACACCGCCAGCGTGCCTTGCCAGGGCCACCCTGCGCACCCGCTGCCGCCGCCGACGCCGCCCTTCGTCGCCCTCCCTCGACGTCCGCTCTCGTCGATGGTCGGCTGGGCTTCGGCGGTCGTCGTCGTCGTCGTTGCCGCTGCCGCCGTCGTCGCCATCGCCGGCGCCGCGGTGTCCTGGGTGCAATCTGCGGCAGCTTGTTTCTGCTCGCCACGCCCGGCCAGCCCGTGCCCTCGCTCTCTTTATGTGCGCCCGCGGGCGCGCCGGGGGTGCGCAGGCCTCTGCCAAGCCACACGCGCAGGCGGGGGCCTGCTGGTCCACCACAACCCCCCTCCCGAGCCTCCTCCGCCACCCTCGGCTGCACGTAAGAGTGACCCTTCTTTGGACGGGGCCAGGACGAGGATAAATCCTTGGTCGCTGTGGGGCGAGGAGGGTGCCCCAGGGGGGATGCCGTGACGCTCTGGTACCAGACCCCCCCGGCAGGTGGTGAATTCCCCCCAGCCATGCCTGAGGTTGTGCCCGCGGCCCCACCCGAAGCTTACCCAAGCCACCACCACCACCAACACCACCACCATCACCAC